TGTGTGTAGCGTGTAATTGTCAAGATGGAGAACATATTTTTCAGGCATTATTGACTTGCCTGCATATCCATATTGAGTACATTTCTAAATATAAATGAAATGTATGTATTATTAAAGTGCCCTACAAAGCTAGTCATAGCTGTTTTCTAGTCCAAGTATTCTTAAGTGGAGATAATACTAGAAAGAATAAAAAAATGTTAAATTGTAAAGCAACATGCAGATTGGGAAACAAATAGTATTGTGCAAGATGGTTCACTTTTCAAATAAATTATTTATTTTAAACAAACACACCCCAAAGTTTTGAATATGACTTCTGGGATTTTTGGGTATCTAATGTGAAATGCAAGTTTCCCATAGCATATGAAATGCAGAGTTTCCCAAATTCTAAAAGCATTCCTGAAACATCATAGTTCAGGTGTGAAGCCTCAAGTGCATTCAGAATTTTAATATTTCATCAGTTTATTTAAATTAGATATTTTACTGGTTGCAGTGGGCTGGCAATTCGAATAACTTTTAATGATGTAATGCAAACTTGTAAATCATTTTCAGTGAGGGCCTCATGGCTCAGCACAACTTTTCTGTAGTATACTAAATTGCTGGCATAACTTTAAAATTTGTAATGCTTGGAGATCATGAAAATAAGAACAGAAGCCATATGTATGTGGGAGAAGTAGCTGAAAATATGAATTTGGACTTAAAAGTTTTTACAGATCTCTAGTTGTCTTTAAAGCAAAAATTATGTCTGATAGGTGTTAAACCATGGCACATGTAAGTGCTATAGAGAGTGAAATGGAAGTACACCACAGAAATGCAGTATTAAAATTATGAGGTACACATTGTGGTAGTGCAATTTCTCAGAAAAAAAATGGTTTTATGACAAAGTATTGTAAAGATACTGCTACACCATAGGTTTAGAATAATAAATGTGATTATTGTCAATTTTAACTAATCGGGGATTCAGTATTTTGACTAGCCAGTGAACAATTATTCATTTTCTTTGCTAGGATTTTCAGTTAAGGCATTCAAGCATCTCTGAAATGATGCATAATCCCCAGACTTTATTACTGCTTATATCTGTGGGTTTATATTGCAGCACAGGTACCAAGAGAAACGAATTATATTGTTTCAGAGGGAGTTAAACTGGCAAAAATTTGGGAAAAAAGAAAAGGCTGAAAATAAATATACATCTGTTGTGAATCTGGATTGACTCTAAGGTTAAATGATGCCTGCATTGACCAAATTGCCATGGAAAAATAGGAACTGATCATAATTACAGTAGAATAAAACTTTGTCCTCTTGTTTGGTAGGCTCTTGGGTACAATAAAAACTTTGGCAAAAAGAAACTGAATTCATATTTGTAAGCTTTCCCTTTGACAGTAAGGAAAATATTCTTAAATGGTGTAAATTGCCATCCTTTTGCTGACTTCAGCAAAGTTATGACAATTTATATCACTCAAATGGTGGTCCCCAAGTATGACTTATCTACCTGATTTTTCTGTAATACGTATATTGCAAATATGCAAACCACACACTAGAAAGAACTGACAAGAATCCTACTTACATTCTGATAAATGTTCGAGATGGTGGTTCTTTCAGTCTCCAACGCAAAAAATCAGAAAGACTACAAAAGTCCTGAAGAGGAGGAATTGTGCACTGGTTTGTCCAGGTCAATTTTACATGATCTCCTTCCCCATAAATGGTAAGCTAAAAACCCAAAAACGACCCACCAGCAAAACCAAGAAACACAAAGTGAATGCAAATAGTAGCCCATACATGAAAATATAAAGGATGTTCCAAACTGTGTTGGCTCCAGATGTTTTTATGAGTTAAACAGTTTACTGTTTTCACATATTTAAAACATTCTATTTTTTTCACTTGATGTTTATAAGCTTTGGGCAAACTTGCTGGCATTGATTTAAGTTATGCTTTTGTACCACATGTAGGTTAAACACACTTTCTGAAAAGGTACAATGCGAACAAGAATTCAATCATTAACATTGAGAGGCAGCAACTGCTTACAATTTTTTCCAGTAATTATTCTGCTGTTACTGAGAAGCTTTGCGCTGAAGCTTTAACTAAAAAGTTATAATTTTTTTACAAAGGATGCTATCATATAGCCATAGGTATTTGGTAACTGCACAAAAACTTTCTGAACTATTTCAGAAAGTGTTTGAAGCTGTTTATTTGCCTTAACATTAGTTGCCTATATTTGCATTCTCCTTACATAGTTTAAAAGGAAAGCATAAAGCTCTGCAGTGAACTGCATTTCCAGTTCATGTGTGCTTAAAACTGATTTTTAAAGAAGTAATAAGAACACTTGGTGTAGGACTTGTGATCTTATTTAGGAACTCAGAAGCCCAGGGAAGCACATTCCTGAATAGTCAGATTTGGATATGAAACTATTGAAAACACAGAGTTATGCCATTATAGCGTTGCTATTGCATTCTTCTTCTTCTTCTTCTTCTCTTCTCTTTAGGAACTTCTCCTACCTCTCCCTAAAATGTCCTATTTGGCTTGTCTCTTATTTCTCTTGGAAACCTTATCTTTCTCTTCTTTCTCTCTCTTCCTTGCACCCTCTCACTTTCTTCATTGTGCTTCACTTATTTAACTTTTTTTTTTCTTGTTATGTGCGAGAAATCCTGCTTGGCCACCCCCTAGAATTAAGAAAAGGCATTTTTACACCGCCTTTGGCTTCGGGACTTCCCCGACCTCTTCCCAGCCGTGGCGGTGTGAGGGGTGCAGCCACGGCGGCCCTGGAAGGAGGGATGATGCTGCCATTCCTGCCCCTCCGGCCCCGGCCCCCCCGACGGCTGCAGCCCCCGCGGCCGGGGCGGGGAGCAGCAGGTTGGAGAGCGGCGGAGGGCAGCGGTGCGGTGCGGTGAGATGCGGAGCGGTGAGATGCGGAGAGGAGCGGAGCGCAGCGGCCGCTCCCCCGCCGCTCCCCGCCCGCACCTGGGGCCGCCCGCCCGCCCCCGCTGCCCTCGGGCCGCTGCTCCGCGCCTGCCGCTGTCCCGCACTCATTGCCCCATGGCAGCGCCTGTCCGTGCGGGACAGCAGCACCCCTGCGCTGGCAGCCCGGCGTGCTCCCGAGCTCCAGAGGGGTTCAGCCATCGAGATTTCTTTGTATCCCTCTCTTCTAATATTAGAACACATATTGAAACGATAAACACAATGAAAAGCACAAAATATTTCATCAGTGTTGTAACTGTATATTTCCTTTATTCTGAAGAAATATCAAGTTTTGAACGGTGCACAGAGGCAGCAACTTCTGCTTTGGACGCCGCTCTCTTTGTAAAGACCGCGTTGCTACAGTTAAATCTAAAGGCAGTTGTTAAAAAGTTAGATGTCAGAAAAGGGGGGAAATCTTACCGTCGAAAGACTGCTGCAGGTTCCAGCTCAGTCTGAAACTGCAGTGAAAAGCAGAGCAGCTGCTGAACAAAAGTTTTAGATTTTTTTTAAAGAAAGTCTGCAAAACTAATTTCCCACAAAATAGGACTCAATTTCCGTTTAAGAAACTAGCTCTTGCAAAAGTCATACAATTGCTGATTTTTTCCACTAGCAATTGAAATTCATTTTATCTTTAGCACATGGACCCAAGAATTTAGACTTGAGAGAAATGGTTTTCCTTTTTTTTTTTTTTTTTTTAGTTTTGTTTTGGGGGGAGGAGGAGCAAGGTACATGGAGCAGGAAGAGCTGAAGAATAAAACCTCTGCGCAGTGGGCACCTCTTTGGTCATTGATCGCTAAATGCGTTATCCTGATTTAAACCAGTTAAGAGCCGCTTTGGTGGCTACTGTAATTCCACTACACGGACGTCAAAAATAATTTTTAAAAATAAAAACTACAGAAAAAAAAGACAGGCCCAGACTTTCCAGGTTGTCCCCCAATCCACTAAAGACATTTGCAACGAAGCAAATGAAGATAAAGCAAATAAACATTATGCGACTTGTTGTTTTGAAGGGGCAGAGGGCACGAGGGGAAACTTTTCTCTGTACAGCCAGCGTTGCTGGCACGGTGGGGGCCGGTGGGTTCATTGCAGACGCGGCCGCCGATGCCGGGGCACAGCGTGAGGGCAGCCGGGGCAGCGCCGCGGCCCACGGCGAGTGCCGGGGCGGTGGGCGCGGGCGGAGCGGGTGCAGGACCCGCACCGGGACCCTCGGAGGGGGCAGCGCGGCCCCGATCCCGGCCCGTGCGGCCCCGCACGCCGCCGCCCTCGCACCTGGGCCCGCAGGTGAGGCTCTGGCGAGAGCGCTTCAGCCCCCGCGGAAACGGGGCGGCGGTGGCCCCCGCGCCCCCCGCCCCAGAGTCACCCCCGCACGTCGCCTCACGACTTTACCGCGCTGCCCCGCCCGCTGCCCCCGAGGGGCGGCAGGACCCCGGGCGGTCGCTCAGCCCCGACGGGGCGGGGATGGCCCTGCGGGGCCGCCCGGGGCGGGGGGCTCGGGGCGGCCGGCGGGGGGCGCGGCCCCGGGCCCGGGAGGAGCCGCTGCGCCCCCGCGGAGCCGCCCCCCATCCCCCCTCCCTCCGCGGGCCGCGGGCGCCCGGGGCGCGGGTGCGCAGCGCTGCCGCCCGCTGACGGAGCCGCTCGGCGCGGGGACGGCGCTGGCGTTTTGGAGGGAGTTTGCATGTGGTCAGTGCTGTGCTGCTGAGCCAGCCCCCAGCTCACATTACACACTACTGTATTTATAACCTCTCGAAGCTGTTTCCCCCTTCAAGCAGTTCTCTGGGACCACCTTCTATTGGCTTCAACCTCTCCCACTTCTTGACATCTGAGCAGCTCTGAGAACGGCTCATCTAGGTCCGAGTGTTTATGCAGCGGAGACTGGCCACTAGGGCTAAAGACCTGGATTATCTGAGCTCAGCTGCCTGCTGCAGAGTCTGTCGGTGCCGTTTTGGAAAAAAAAATCCCAGCCCCGATCTGTTTACAGTGAAAGTTGACAAAGGGTGGTGAAGTTGGATCTTTCCTAAACTCTCCTGCCTGGAGCCTGAGACTTGCATGCCATGGATCACACACTCTTTGGCTGCCTGCGCAGCCCCCATGCCACTGCGCAGAGCTTGCACCCTTTCTCCCAGTCTTCTCTTGCCCTGCATGGAAGATCTGACCACATGTCCTACCCTGATCTGTCTTCTTCTTCTTCCTCTTGCATAATAGCGGGATACCCCAATGAGGAGGGCATGTTTGCCAGCCAACATCATAGGGGGCACCATCACCATCACCATCACCACCATCACCACCACCAGCAACAGCAGCACCAAGCTTTGCAGACGAACTGGCACATTCCTCAGATGTCGTCTCCTCCCGCCGCGGCCAGGCACAGCCTCTGCCTTCAGCCTGACTCAGGAGGACCCCCGGAGCTGGGCAGCAGCCCCCCTGTCCTGTGCTCGAACTCTTCCAGCCTGGGCACCAACACCCCCACGGGGGCAGCGTGCGCGCCAGGGGACTATGGCAGGCAGGCTCTGTCCCCGGTGGAAACAGAGAAGAGGTCCGGCAAAAGGAAAAGCGACAGCTCAGGTAAAGGTTCGCGCGTTCCCCAGCGGGGCGGGATCCCCGGGCGGCGGGGCTCGGGCAAGCGGCGCGGTCGGACCTGCTCGGCTGGGCTGGTTTAGCTCGGCTCCTTTGGCCCGGCTCGGCTCGGCCCGGCTCGGCTGGCCCGGCTCGGCTCGGCCCGGCTCGCTGGGCCGGCCACGGCCGCAGCTGCGCTCTCGCCGCCGGCTGACACCGGGCTGCCGGGTTGCTCCTTCCCACCAACGCGCTCTCGGGATCTCCATCACTAACGCAAGCTTTATTAAGGCTACGGGGGGAGAAATAGAAGGAAAAAATTCAGCACGTGATAGAGTATGAAATCAAGGTGGCGGTGGGGGAGAGTTTCCTACAGCCAAGGAGAGAAACGTTTGTAGTTTTGGTGCGGTTTTCAGCATCTGGTCCCGCGGCCCCCTCCCCCCTGCCCGATACGACACCTCTGCTTCAAAATTCAGAATCCAGCGCGCTCCTTCCCCTCCGCCCCTTCGCCGTGGAGCTGACTGCGGCTCCGAGGCGATTGCACAACGCTTGGAAGCTCTGCCTTGGAAGCGGGGATTCGGGAGAGGAGCTGATGCCTTGCTACCCTGTAGGATCTGAATGAGCCTGCCTCAAATCCTCAGCGTGCAGGGGCAAAATTTGTGAAGCAAACGGGTGAATGAGAGTTTCAGAAAGCTGCTTCACTTCAGTTTTCTGGTGGCGGGGAAAGAGGAAAGGAAGGAGCAGTCTGCCTTTTAAAATTACAGTAATTCTTACTTAAAGGCGAGCATAAAAACATGTAGACCCGCAGTCATTCCAGAGCAATGATTTGGCATCAATGAATGGGCAAAAAACCTTGACATTATCTCTGCTTTCTAAAATATCAAAGCCTGTCAAAGTCCTGCTCTGACAAAAGCCATTCGGCGAAGGCAACACAAGTGATGGGACTTCCGTTAGGGCACACATGAGCCGGGGGGTCACCAAAAATATAGAGAGACAGGCAGGAGGCACTTGAAAGAGAGGGGGCTCAACAGATTGTAAACTCAAGAGCTGGCGTAGCAAATTATTTGTTATCACAGAAGAGAAAGTGAAAGGCTTTTCCAGATACGTATGAAGTTCACAACTGAAACCATAACCTCTTTCACTCAAAATGCTGTAAGCTTGGTAGAGAGCAAGCAACACAAAGGATTTTTAAAAAATGATCCTCAAGAATACCATCACTTCCTTCACTGGCCATTATATTAGCAAATATTTACAGTTATAGTAACTCAGAACGTATTTATCTGAATTGCGTCTTACATAGCTGATATAGTTGCTGAAAACTCTTCTTGCGTTTAAAGCTGTATTTAGTTCAAACACTGCTGGTAAAATCTTTTGTTTTGTCTTCTTTACTTTCAATGAGAAAAAGAATTATCTGATTTTTTGAGGTGTATGGACAGTCCCTGTTACAACTGAGAAAATAACTGGATGCCTGATGGTGTAAGGATTTATTGTATTTGTCGGTCTATTTAAAGCTAAAGGAAAAAAGGAAATTGGTCCCTTTCACTGTCAGGGAAGTATCTGAATCACTTTCTGTTTATTTAATTCTACAATGCAAACCTAAAAAACACCAGTGAGGAATGTCCTAAACCTTACCCTGAAGTGACTGGAGTCTTCCACTGGATTAGTGGACAAGAGTTTGAGCCTTTAGCCACGGTTTTGTTTATCTTGCAATGCACTTCGATCCTCACTTTCTAAGACTTTCTGAAGATCAAGGCAGGTAGCTATTTCCTCCTCCCTTCCGCTAAGAAAAAAAATATGATCGTTCACACAATTGTGAATCTCTCAAACTGAAAATAGATGTCTTTTGACAACAACTGCATAGCTGCTGTATGTTTGGTTTTTCTTCGGGAAAAGCCTGCGTTTTGGACTGAATATTTAACCCCACCCCTTTATTAGTCCTGAACTCTGGTGCTAGATATTTAATGCTATTCTCATATATGGCAGCAAGAATTATTTTAATTTGCTGTGTTTCTATATTTGTCAACCATAATTGCCCCTCATTTGATTAAACATCATCGCCTTTATTTCTCATTAATCTTTTTTTTTTAAACAAATGACTGTGCTTGAAAGAATTTCTTCCATGCCTTCATCAGACTTGGAACTACTTCAATAGACATTTGTAAAAACTCCTAATAGTAAATAACTAAGAGGTGAAGAGAGAGAGAAAGACTGCTTTAAGTTTCAGTGCCAGCATTCTGAGACAACTATTAATGCTCTTGCTTATTTACACATATATTTCCTCTTCTTAAGCATATCACTTAAAACCACAGAATGCTCAGCGTTTTCTTGAGCACTGAATCTGTTCCACATTTCAGAGATGAATTAACCTTAGGCTACCCCTTTCTTCCACTACTTAGCTTTTGTTTCTGTGTGTTTAAGATCACAAAGCTGAGTTTGTAGATAGTTTAAAGAATGTAAAACATGATCATTCCTTGTATCCTTTACCTTCCAAATGAGTAACTGTTTCTTAGCCGTATAGCTACTCTGAAAATTTACCAGAAGGGACACCCCATTTTACTTATTTGTATGATGATGGGAGTGCAAAGTTTTAAAATTACAAACAAAAATCCAGAGGGCAAACAGAATTTAGTATGATGGACTGTGTGTTTTTTACCCAAAATTCATGTATTGCAAGGGAATGGGAGGACATAGAAACATTCTTCTCTAATCTGTTGCAGTTTCATTTGGGATTGAGAAAACAAGGTGAAATGTGCTCTCATGATAGTTACATAAACTGACTTACAGTTTTCTTTAGCCCTAACCCAGAATTTAAGCATTTTGGGAAGTTCCCTTTGAAGATATTGAAAAGACTGCTACAGAACAGGGTGAAATTTTCAGCTGTTCTCATTGCAAAGGACTGGGAAATACTGCTTTTGTAGTCGTCAACCCCTGCTTGCTGCAGCTGTCAGTGTCTCCAGGTTTTGTAGCTGCTCTCTCATAATCTGCAGAACATTCCTTCCAACCTGCCCAGGCCCAGGAGTGGGTCGGTAAAGCTGCCTGTGGGTTGAGGAGTGGTGCATACAAATCTTTCTGTGTTAACGTTTTGCAGTGAATAATGGCATCTGCATCCTCACCTTTGTAACTCAGCTCTTCGGATGTCAAGGCTGTACGAGTAGAGAGACAATACTAAGTCTGAGGGTTGATTGCAAATGAAATAGCTTATTTTAAAGTGCCCTAATGGTCAGAATTATCTGTGTGCTAATGAGGTGCGGATGAAAACCATGCTGAGTGTATAGAAAACATATTCTTGGAGTGCTTTGTTGCTTTGTGGTATGAGTTGTTCTGCATGGAATATTTTGGATTTTTCTAATGCCTCCCCTTCTTTTTACTTGCCTGTGAATTTCAGGGCCATTTTATTTCTGTTTATTATAAAGTAGGTTTTGATTCTCAGATGATGCAAAACACATAAGATGCAAAGTTACTTCTGTGATTTCCTAAGTTACATTACTTAGGTCCAAGTTTTCTTAAGACTTCAGTCAGGAAAAAAGCATATTAATGCTTATATGGGAAGTGCTATCTAGATTTACTGAGAAATACAAAAAAAGAGTGAATCTGGTAGCCTTAAGGAAGTCTAAAATGCTATGGTGAAAAAAACATCTGTACTATGCTGAAAAGACCAGGGGGAGGCTGAGTACAGTTGAAGGAGTTCTTCTAAGCAATACAGCTATTCAAACATTAAATTGTAAGAGATAAATATATAAGGAAATTGCATTCCTGTTAAAGTCCAATGTAATTAAACACTTGCCCTCAGGCATGAAAAGCCTTTTAAAAAAAGAAAAAAAGGAAACCAAATTTCGCCATGGGAAAATGCTTTCTGTGTGGCACAGGTTTCCAAGAAAAGGCTAGCAGGTAATAAAAATTCTTCATATTTTTGAATGTATTTACAATAGTAGCATTTAGAAAAGCATTTCAGGAATCCACTGTTTCAACAGTTCGGCCAAGTGTGTTCTGGTGGGTTTTGTTCATTCACAAATCACATGAATAAAAACAATACTTTTTCCCCCTGAGTTTTAATATTTTATAATCTATCTATTCTCAAGATGCAAGCAGCAAAAAGTTGTATCTCCAGGGAATTTATTTTAAACACATCTAAATATCATAAATCATATGTACTTGTTTGAAATGGTCTCTAAAAAGCAGGTCATTTTGATAAATGATTATAAATACTGTGAAATCATGAGTTTTGAGGACTTTTGATTGGTTTCTGAAACATGTCAGTAAGAAAAATGAGCTGCACGCTTGTAGTCAAAAAGCACTGTGTAACTGATTCATCAATATGTCTCTGCTTTTCAGTGTGGTTGTAAAGGGAAACAAGAGGAAACATAATAAAGCATAGTTTTACTGGAAAGAGTTAATTTGTTTGGTATCTTGTATAAAAGCATCACTTACCCATAAGAAAAAACCAACAATAACAAAAACTCTGTAGATTTCATAAATGAAACAATTTCAAAATCCGACGAATAACACACACACTTTTAGGAGAAAACCTTCAAGACTGATCACTTATCAAATGATGAGCTTACTAGTCAGCCACTAGCTGAATTGTTTCAATAGATGAAAACTTGCAAGAAATTCACTTTGAATTGAAGTGTAATCAGGAACTTTTCTAAGACTAAAATTTTGAAAGACTCTTTTGCTGATACATTTTCAAAATTCTTTGCCCCTAGTCAAAGAAGAACTTTGTGCGGACAAAAAGAAAAAAAAAAGAACTATGTGTGGCTCCTAGTTATGCATTTCTATCTGTTTGTATAAATGATTCAGGAGGATTTACACTTCTCCTTCTCCCCCTCCTCGTCAACCCACCCTTTTAGAAACACTGGAAGGCTGATCCAGACCTTCACGGGATCACAAAGGGTTTTGTGAGAAGGTCCATTGACTCCAGTGAAACCACTGAAGTGCTCAAGGTTTTTTAAGCAATCAGAGCTTTATTCTTTTACATGGGCATTGAAGAAAAATGCTTTGTAATTCTTGAA